AACAAAGATTAAATCGAACGTTCTACAATAGTCAGTATTTGACTTGAAATTCTGAGACAAAAATTCAATTTTGTTTTGAAATCTGTACTTAAATTATGGTCTATACTATGGAATGCAAATTGTTTTTTGTCATATCGTTACGACTTACAACAAGTGTGACTGTGCTTCGAGTTCAATATATTTTCAAAAGTTTTCTTTTATGAAAAGTCATAATTCTCATTTTAATCGATTATTTAGATTTTGATTTCTAAAAAAAACAAGATTTAGAACATTTATGACTACAATTTAGTCATATGAATACAAAAGCTGATTGAAAACAGTGACTCATAAAATGGAACTTTTGTCCCTTTGAACTTTTCAAAGCCATACTACACATTAATGTTAGATTTATCGAAGAAATTTACAAAAAATATAGTTTAGAACTTAGAAGTGTAATTGAGGGTTCGAAGAATGGGACTGTAGTAAAAGCTTCCACAGATATTATGGAATTTGATAATCTTTGACACTGTTCTGCTGGATATCAAGAGCAAATTTTCAATTATTGTGGATGTACACATCGAACTTGACATCTGTAGAAGAATACTTTTTCGTCATATTGGTATAAACTTAAACTTCATTTTTTTCTTTTTTAGGATCACACACATGTTTCTTCGCTCTTGATTTACCTGAATATTCAACGACTGATATAATGTATGAGCGTTTGAACTATGCTATAACAAATTGTTCGAGTATCGATGGTGATGGTATGGTGGACGATGTCGTCAATCCAGTAAATCTAAACTATGATGCAGATTTTGTTGGACAACTACCAGCATTTCTAGCAACACTTCTTGGAAGGAATTCTTTTTTCAACTAAAATAAGTTTTATACAATCTATTTACAAGTTTTCTGAGATGATATCAAATTTTTTTTCTAAATTTTCAATACGTATTTTTACTTACGAATAACATTCATTAATACTTACTATTATTCAATCAAGATATATTCATTTCGAAAATTTTTTTGAATAAAAATAAACTGTTTAAAAAAATAATCTGAGATGAATTGTGAAATTAAGATCAAAAAATAGTTAACGGCTCAAAAGTGCAACCAAAATAAAAGCGACTGTCAACTGATTAGTCTGTTGCTACAAGCACTACACAAGTATTTTTGATAATACACTAGCGCCT